CCAATGTGATGCATATTCTCAATCTTCTCCTGGCCCAAAGGGGCCTCTCCGAAAGGACCGTGTGCGTGAAATGTCCTTCCGTGCTGATCGGTGACACTGCGGCGGCGCGAGGAGAGCAAACGCCATCTATTGTCTCTGACGGCCGAGGTGCACTGCGCGTTCCGACGCCAATATGCCGACCACCTCCGTCGAGGCGTGCAAGCTCTTGCTCCACGCGCCCGCAGCGGCAGGCGGATGGGTGATAACATGACGCATTCAGGAGCGAGCGTTATCGACTCTATCCGCGTCGGGCCCCGGGGCAGCCGTGCCCTCGCGCGTCGGCCCTCGGCGCACCGCGCCCAGGAGCGCGCCCTGAAAACGGTTCTGCAGCGCTCATCGTTCGACGGGTGCCTCCTCCCGCTGCAGGGGCAAAGGCCGGGATGCTCGACGCGCCCCGTTCGATAGGCCCGCGGGGCACCCCGGCGCTGATCGCTCAGTCGCACAAGTGTCCGCGCGGCCCGCGACGACCCCGATCGCGACTTACTCCAGCCGCTGTAGTGCTCGTCTCCCTGGTCCCATGTGTTCTCATCGGCGCAGTTCCACGAGAAGTTGTCGCGCTCGTCCTTCCACTATCAAGGACTCGTCATCCACTGCATCTTCTCGCCGACCGCTCCCCGAGTTTCAGTCAGCGGCGCTAGCGCTGCCAACTTCGCGTCAATTGTTATATCCACTCGAAATCCGAAATCAAATCGCCTCCGCCGGCACTGCTGGCTTCATGGGCTCTACTGTGCCATGTCTCTTTATATTTCTCGCGATTCTTGCGTTTATCGCTCCCCCCTCGTCCGCTGGCTTCGCGGGAGTTCCACCTCTCTTTGCCCCCCATCTCTGCCCTCACCGCGCCCGTGCCCCCGGGGATCGGCCGCTGTAGCGCCGCCAGGGGCATCGTCTTCTGTTGCCGTCGCGATCTCTTTTGGCGCCCGTCTCCGTAAAAATGGCGCGGAAACGGACGGGGCCCGCCGGGCGCTGGCGCAGCCGCGCCGTGCTCGGCAGGGGGCCGATGCGCCTTTTCAGGGGGCGCCTTCCCCATTGGCGCGGCCGCCGCAGCATTCCACATGCCACGTCCATTCAAGGCCCGACCCAATTTCTCGCAGGCGAGCTCCGACGAACCAGCCTCGCCAAGGAAAGGGCCCCCGCCGAGGATGTCGAGAGGGCGCCCTATGTCGTCCAAGGTGAGGTGAACCGATGCCCCCGCGATTCCACGCTCCAGGGGCGATGGCCGAGGGTCCGTCAACGAAACCGTCAACGGCGCATTCGCCGGCCCGCCTCTCGCCATGCAACTCCTGCACTTTGGCCACGACATCGTCGAGGAACGCCGGGTGAATCTGCCCATCGTTGTGCGCGGCGACCTGATCGGCGCGCGCGCTCGACATCCCCGCGGTTGCTTTGACAATCCCCCGCGCGAGCCATCGCGTGGTCACAAACTTCTAATGCTCTGCAAGCCCGCCCAGAACCTCGCCCGTCTCGACGCCTTTGTCCCTGCGCACGTTGTCAATGTCCACTTCCGTCAGGGTGTCCAAGAGGTCGAATTTGATTACATTCGTTCCATCATCCCATGCCTGGAGCTCCGCGCGAATTCCGATTCGCCATCCGATTATCATCGCGGTCCCAACCGTTCTTTCACACTAGCACCACTTCCATCCGGTACTCGCTGAAGCCCGCGCACATCGGAATGGAACGCTTGTTCCCGCGACTGCGTTGCGAAGGACGCGTTATCCGCCGGCCCCCTTGCGGGGCCACCAGGCTGTTCCCTGCGCCAGTTCCAACTTCCAGTTTCCACTGTTGCAGTTCTGCTTGTTGTTGCTTACTGTTCCTTGCTGTAAACCGCGCGAGGGGGGGGGGGAGCCGAAAAGCACCCTGGTTACCACCTCCCGGGTGGGGTCTCAAAATTTATGGGAGGGTCCAAACTGACGCCCCTCACCCAAATCGGCGGGGTCAGGGTCAACAAACATTAGTGATTTGCCACATTTCTAAAAATCGGCGGCACTCCTCACGCAGACCGGCGGGGTCAGGGTCCAAAAACACATGGGATTCGCAACATTTCTGTAATTCGGCGGCACCCCTCGCGCAGATTGGCGGGGTCAGGGTCGAAAAACACATGGGATTCGCAACATTTCTAAAAAACGACGGCACCCCTCACGCAGATCGGCGGAGTCAGACTGAAAAAACCTGTGGGATTTGCCACATTTTCAAAATTCGGTGGCAATCCCCCCGCAGATCGCCGGCGTCAGGGACGAACAACTAATGGGATTTGCAATATATAAAAAATTTGGCGGCACCCTAAAGCAAATCGGCGGGGGCAGGGTCGAAAAACATATCGGATTTGCTAAAATTCTGAGCTTCGGCGGCAACCCTCACGCAGATCGCCGGGGTCAGGGTCGAAAAATACGAAGGATTCTCCACGTGTCTTGAAATTCGGTGACCCCCTCACGCAGATCGGCGGGGTGAGGGTCCAAAAATTTTAGGGATTTGCCAGATTTCTAAAATTTGGCGACACTCCTCATGCAGATCGGCGGGGTCAGGGTCGAAAAACACATGGGATGTACCACATGTCTTGGAATTTGGTGGCACCCCTCACGCAGATCGGTGGGGTCAGGGTCAAAAAACACATGGGATTTGCAACATTACAGCATAAGCGAGCAAGCTCGAAATCAACACTATCATCATAATCTCAACTTGTCTTGCCGATTACTCATCGTTGTCGCGTCAAGTCCCGACGCTGCTTCACGGCGGCGCCAAGGCCTCATGCTTTCGCTCTTGCATTGCCCATTATCCGCGAGAGGGGGCCGTCGGCAGGGGGCGAAGCCCTTACGATAAAACCAACCATTATTGAGCAGCACATAGCACTCATCGTGGGTTTCTTGTTCATGCGCGCCCCGACGGCCTTGCTTGATCGTTGTCGGGTCATTGGGGTTTCCAATCCTGGTCGAAACGAATATTCCCTTTCTAGGATCGGCATCGCATTCCTCAAATTCGTGCCGTGCAACAGTATCATCGCACCAGTTCTGCCTTCCATTGCATCTGTGAGCGCTGTGCCCCTTTTCAAAGGCATGTACTAGCTCCGCCCCAATTTTGGCCCCGCCCCCAAGCATTCCCAAAAATTTGGCAGATGGGTGATTGGTAACAAGAGATGATGATCACGAGATGGGTCGCGGTCATCATGCCAGAACGGACCACGAACATGTTTTTGGTTGGGGGGTGGGCATCGGCGTGACGGGGCCCGAGTCACGTTGAACAGGGGGGGGCGGGGGCGGTCGCGACGTTCAATCAGCAATGCCATGAGTGTCAACGGGGTCAACGCAGAAACGAACGATTGAAGGGGTTCAAGGACACACAAATGAATACACACAAATCCCAGAATTTCAAATATTTCCCATAATTTCTTTGTCTTCGTCTTGCCCCCCCCACTTCCCATATTTTCCCACATTTCCTGGGAATCGACGATTCAATGTCTGTGCCGCGGCGAAGACGGCGAGGGCGAGGAAGAGGAGGGCGAGACCAGCGAGGGGGGCGGGCACGCCGGGACGGACGGCCCCGCAGTCGCCAGAGAGGGGGACAGGTGATGACAGAATGCGTCCCTGGCGGCGAGAGAACGGACGTGCTAACCGCGGAGTGGGAGAAGGCCACGAGGTCGAACAGGCACGTCCCTGGGCGCGAGTGGGGGCGCGGGCATTGGGAGCGAGGTGGATGCGAGGGTCGCTGGCGGGGGGCACGGGTCGGTGCGGCGAGGGGGCGACGCTGGCGACCGCGAGGGAGCGGAAGGTCATCGCTCGGAGACGCGGTGGCGAGCCCCACCGTCAGGGGAGGGGCGCGCAGTGAAGACCTCGCCGTCGTGGAGCAAAACTTCGAGGCGTCTGGCGTGCCTTTGGGGCCTCTGCTCGGTGAGTGGGCCTCTTGGGAACTGTTGGGGCATCGCGGGGGGCGCGTGCACCAAATCTGGGTCCGTCGGCGTTTCTGGAAGAATCGCTGATTTGTGAGATCTCGCGGCCGTCCTGGTCTTGTCGTGGCTGGTGGAAGGCGATGACGATGACTGACGTCCGCTCGCTTTGGAGGTGGCACGGGTATTTTTTCGGCGCTCTTGAAGAGCATCTCAGGCTAGTGGGCTGTAAGGGGCCTTGGCGTTCGCGGCGCCGACTGGCCTACAGCTGGCCGATGACGATGGGGCGAAGATGGGGCGATGACAAACTAAGAGGCGTAGCAAGAGATGCAGGGGAGGACGCGCACGAAGAGGACGAGCAGCAGCCGACTGATGTACGCTCGTTTTGAAGGTGCCCTGGATGTTGTTTGGACGCCTTCAAAGAGGGCCTCAAGCCTGAAGGGGCTTCGAGGCCTTGGCGCTCACGGCGCCGACTGGACTACGGCTGGCCGACGCGAGTAGGAATGCGCTGTCCCTGGGGATGAAGCCGCGGGGGAAGGAGGGAGGAGGAGGAGGAGGAGGAGGAGGAGAAGGAGGAGGAGGAGGAGGAGGAGGAGAAGGAGGAGGAGGAGGAAAAGGAGGGGGTCGTGGTCCTGCCGCCGGGGCCATCGTGCCGCCATGGCGCGATACGCGCCTCCTTTTTCCCCGACGGCCGGGGCGCACCGCGCCCTCCGAAGTCCGTTCGCCAGCCACCTCGTTCGACGTGCAAGGAGCTCTTGAGCCAGAGGCCCGCAGCGGATTGGTGATACCACGACGCGGCCAGGAGTCAACGTTATCGCACCCTCCCCTCCTCCTTTTCGTCGTCTTCTCACTCCTATTCATCTCCAGTCTCCCCCCCTCCCCCCCTCCCCCTCATGCCCCCCCTGGTCCGCCTCATCCCTTCCCGGCCCTGACCATTTCCCCTCTCTCCTTCCCCCTTCCCTTTCCCCCTCCTCCCCCTTCCACTCCGACGACGACCGCGACAACGACGGACCGACGACGACGAACGGCGGACGACTGGCGACGACGCCCAGCGAGACGACGCACGGAGTGAGGACGCCCCGAACGCCTGCGGCGCCAGCAGCAGCGGCGAGAGGTCGGTGCCCTTGGCCTGCGAGGCGGCAAAGTCGAAACCCTTCTGCTGGTAGCCCAGCGCGGTGTGCTTCTGCGCCTGCGCGGCGACGTCGTCGTCGGCGTCGACGCTCGTCGGCGTCGCCGCTCGGCGGCGTCGCCGCTGGTCGACAGCGTCCGACGACGACAACATCGTCGACGTGAACGTCGTTGTCCTTACCTCACTCCTCCTCCTCCTCCTCCTCCTACTCCTCCTCTCTATTTATATGTGTACATCCTTCCTCCCCTGCCTTTCCTCCATCCTCCTACTCATTATCATTTCCTCAATGGTTTCTAAATGCATGTTTTCTCGTCCCGCCACCAGATGTGTTGGCAAAGTGCAGGGCGCTTCGCCAGAGACCTCCGTACTGCTTAAGATCCTTGAGCTTGGAGCTACCCAGAATGACTGCGGGAGGGACGTTTTCAAACTGTGGCTCTCAGTTGCACGTCGCGCGCGCTCGAAGTCACGCGTTACATCGTTTTCAGGGATGAAGGGGCAAACTGTTTTCAACATGAGGGGCTGGCTTTAGCATCACGCACGTAGTTTCCAACAGCTGCAGGGACCGCGGGTGGCTCGTCTTCCAATTCGGGCTCTCGCTCGAGACCTTCTGGAGCACGCCTGCTGGGCTGGCATACAAAAAATCACGCACATAGTTTCCAACAGCTGCAGGGACCGCGGGTGGCTCTTCTTCCAATTCAGGCTCTCGCGTGAGCCTTCCTGGACCACGACTGCTGGGCGTGGGAAGGTGTGCAAACAGATAGCACGGGCGGAGGACGGCCCCTCTTCTTAAGCGTGGCTCCCGCCGGCGACCCCCCCGCAGGAAACACGCCCAGACACGCATAAACCTGGGTCGGGCATGTCCTCCTGCAGGCGGATGTTGGACGAACGAGCAACGAGAGTCAACAAAATAGTCGCACCAACTCGAAAACAGTGAAAAAATCGTCCCCCGACTATTTTTTGACTGTTTTTGACTATTCCTCCTGTACTACTGGCCATCGCTCGGACATCCATTCCCTGTGTTTTTTTCGGTTTCGTGCGTGGTTTTTTCCGCCAAATGATCAAGGATGCTCCTCGATGGCCCTCGCCGACGGAAAAATGCACACGTCCGAGCGATGCCAAGGCCCCGGAACGAATTAGCGAACACTCATGATGCCACATCCATCTGTCGACGGCTCCCCCCCCCCAAATGTTCAAAGTGGGCGGTGGGTCTGATGAGATGCACTTCGACCGCAGTCTCCCCCGCGCGTGCCAACATTGAGGTTGGGGGGGAGGGGGGGTGTTCAGGAATTGTTTCCCTCTACCATACCCACCGCCTGGGATCCGACGTCCTGGTGCCCCAGCGGGCGGTGGATACAGGGCAGTTTTTAATGCATGTTTTTTCTTCCAAAACACTTTGATTTTAAATGCATGCTTCATCTATGGACATATTTTTGCATGAGCTCATCGTTGTTTTTAGTACCACATCCCTGCATGTTTCATACATGATCCGCACGCGGATTATGTCTAAAAACACGGAACTGTACGGATACATTTCGGCTCCAGGGGGCACACATACAGTCGGGGCGTTGACCTAAGGAACCCTAAATAAGGAACGAGGCCCCTATTTTCCATAAGTTGAACTTCGATCTCGCATCGAAACCCTAAGGAAAATCCAAGGCAAGCTGCGAAACACTTAAGGAACACGGAGCCCCTCCCCAACGAAAAGGGTTCCTTCTTCAGGGCCCCGACTGTATGTCCTTAGCCACCGCCTGCCGAGGCTCCGAAAACTGACCCTCCAGGCGGTGGTCATGCATGAATTCCCGCCTCGGAGCAGGGGAGCTCCCTTCCACATGGTGCTCCGGCCTGACTGGCAGACCAGCAAGGGCGCTCGCCTTTCCATGGGGCGCCTCCGCTTGTGAGAACGGAGTCTTACGGGGACGCATGAGGGGACTCCTGACGGAATGGCGGACTGCAGCATCGTTGGTACACCCCGGGCTTGCTGTGGCCCTCCTCAGACCACCTCTCTTCCTCGGTCTCTAGCACCCCCAAGCCTCCACCTTCTCCAGCAAAAGAAAAACGAAAGCACATACGTAAACTCAAATTTTTGCCGCTCCGCGCGCATTTCTTGGATCTGCGCTGACCCCCCTGCCTGGCGCGCGCAGCGCGCCAGGGGCGGCGCCGGAGGCGCCGCCGGGGGGCCCCAGCGCGGATCCAATAAATTCGCGCGCGGGGCGCCACAGATTTCAGTTTATGGCGCTTTTTCTTTTTCGATTCTCCTCTTCCTCGTGTTCCTCCTCCCGTCGGGGATCTTCTGACCCGGGCCAGTCAGACCTGGCAGAATCCTGCAAGATCCTGCACCCAAACCCGAGTCAATGCGAAGAACCCTGCAAGATGCTGCAAGATCCTGCACCCAAGCCCGGGTCAGTGCGACCCTGGCCCTGCAGGGTCCTGCAAGATCCGGCGCTCTGGCGGACCCCCGTCTGCACTCACCCCCGTCGCGAGGCTCCCGATCCCTCTTCCCGCTCCTCTTCCCGGCCGCAACAGCCCTCCAGGTCCGAGGCCCCTCGTCAGAAGCCCCTGCGGACATGCCTGGCACGAAGCGCCCCCAGAAGAAGGCCAGCACCCCCCTAACTGCGCCCGCCGTTTTCGGGCGAGAGCACCGTCTTCAGAAGGGAGCTGTCCTGCAGCCGATCAGCCCGCGGATGGGGAACGCGACGCTGTCATACATCGGGGGCGCGCAAACATGGATTAGCGATCCATGGCCTTGGCGCGCGGTCGACAAATCCACGCATCGGGGGAGAGGTGCCCTCCCCAAAATGCGGTCGGCGCCTCCTCGTTCGGCGGCGGAAATTGCGCGATTCCCCATGGAAACGGGACCCGTCGCCAATCCACGCCAGCTTAATCCATGTTTGCGATCGACTGAATACAGTGGGAGCCAGTGCACAAGAAACCTTCCACAAGAAACCCAACCATACGACCCCAGGACGTTCATGAACTCTTGATGTTGGAGCGCCACGCTTCCCATCGCGCAACCATCGAAACCCAAGAAACCCAGGGCGCCCTGGAGGCAAGCAGGGTGCTTCTTGGCATGGGCCTCCACTGTATGATCATTTGGCGGCGCGCACAAGGGGGTGGAGGGAGGGGGAGGGTTTCTTAGAAGGAGGCTGCTTCTTAGACGACGCCGGTCTAACATCTATAGGTAAGGTCCGCGCCTTCTAAGAAGCAGGGATGCTTCTAAGAAGCCCTTCCCCCTCCCCCCACCCCCTGTGCGCGTGGCTGAATCATGCAACTCAGCGAGGTGCCAGGACATGACGATCCCCTCCCCCATCTGTGTAACTCATGAGCGTCCAAGAAACCTCTCTCGAACACCAGACTTGAAGGAAGAGCCGCCCTCAATCCGTGCAACTGTGACGTATGTTGGAAGTTTTTGTCTTCGCGTCGCGAGACCAATTTTGAACATGAGCCGTACACCATCCCATATGGCAAACTATTAAAACGAATGGGTGCTATGTGACGACGAAAACCCCATTATGAAAAGGAAGTGCCCTCCACCCTTGTAACGTCTGAAACCTTGTAGGTCGGATGTGCGGGGTGCCAAAAAGCGAGATCCATTTTGCAAACAACCCCTTCCATCCTTGCATATGTTGTCGATGTGTTGATCGGGTGTGCGCGGCGTTGAGGCAATCGCTCAAATTTGAAATCGACGTGTGCTCAATTCTTGCACCTCTAGCACTCCGGTAAGACGAATGTCCGCGGTGCTGAGGTGGAGCTCTGCATGCTTGTATACGTTGCAACACTAAAACTTCAAGACGTAATTTGTGAAGACAAACTCTAAACGGCTGGCCGGCCCACACAACACGTCTGAAGGTGCGACAGGGGGGGTCGTCTACAACAGAGAAGGATGGAGCAGGAGCAGGAGGAGGGAGGAGGAGCATGCGAGAGGTTCAAGGCGGGGAGGGGAAGGAGGAAGGATCCTCCTCATCCTCCTCCTTCCCCGCCCCCTCATCCTGCCCATCCTGCTCATTCTCCGTCCTCCTAGCGTCTCACGCCACTTCCGTAAAATCAGGGGGACGTAAGACCTGGGTACAGGGGACTTGGAAATCCCCGACGAGGTCGTCAAACAAATGACGAGGCCGAGCCTGCATTTTGACGAGGCCTCCCGCTGCAGACATCCCACGAAACTCCTCCTCGTCAAAATCCGAGGCGCGGTCGTCAAAAAACGATGGCGAACCCGAGTCCTGGCAAACCCGGGTCTGACGCTCCCCCGATAAAACAACATGTTCTCGGGCTCCGGCGCTCTTTCGCTTCCAATGGCTTCCACACGTCCTCCTCGTCGCCCTCCTCGTCCCCCTGGGTAGTCGAAGCCAATCTGGCAGGCCCAATCTGGCAAACGGGGACAATCTGGCGAGGGAGCCAACGCGAATCCAGTCTGGCGAATAACCCAAATCCTCCAATATGGCCAGGCCAGAGTTGGCACTTGGGGCCCAATCCAGTCTGACAGTCTGGCCTTCGACTACCCAGCCTCCTCGCCCCCGCGGCCGCCCCCCCCGCGGGGCGCGGCCGTGGTGAAGCTGGCAGGCAGGTCCGCGGGGCCCACCAGCTTCGCCTTCGAGGCCAGCGCCGCGTCCAGCTCGTCCTCCCGGCGGTCCCCCGCGCGTTCGTCGCCGGCTCGGCGGCGGCGGCGCCGCCGTCATGGTCACCTTTGTCGTCGTCGTCGTCGTCGTCGTCGTCGTCGTCGTCGTCGACGTCAGCGCAGTGGTCGTAGTCGTGGACGCTGCGATGGAGGCCGTGGTGGTCCTGGCCGTCGTTGTCGTCGTCGCCACCGTCGCCGTCGCCGTCGCCATCGCTGTCGTGGTCGTCGTAAGGGCGAGGAAGGAGGACGGAGACGGAAGCAGGGATGGGGGAGCCCGAGGCCGTGGGCAGATGATGGCAAGGAGGACGACTGCTGAAGACGTGGTCATAGGGGGAGAAAGGAGGGCGACACCCCTCCGCCCTTTCTTCCTCCATCCCCCTTCCTCCCCCTGAACACCCCTCCCTCCTCCCTTCCGCCCACCCTTCCCCACTTCCCGCCAATGCCCCACGCATCGCGCCGCCGCTCGCAGTGGCCACTCGCGCCCCATGCTCTGGGTCTCTGCCTGTTCGCAAGCAGCCCGAGTGGCCCGACCGAGCGGTCTGCCCTGCTTCCTGGGGCCATACCGCCTCTCACCCTTCATCTCCGTCCCTTTCCCCCCCCTCCATCATGGCGGCGCGCAGACGGGGTTGTTAGAGCACCTCCTGGATGGGATCCGAGTAGATGGGGTCGGAGGGCCTCGCTGCATCGCCGATACATCGCCGATGCATTGCCGACGCATCGACCATGCACTGGTGACGTCGGCGATGCAGCCGCGACGTCGGCGCGGAAAACATTTAGCCCCACATCGAGCCGCGTCGCCGATGCATCGCCGATGCGTCGGCGACGCGGCGCGATCCTCCGACCCCATCTACTCCGACCCCATCTAGGAGGCCTAGATCCATTCCCTGTGTTTCTTTTGGCTTCGTGCGTGTTTTTTCTCGCCAAATGATCAAGGATGACCCTCGATGGTCCTCGCCGATGGTCCTCGCCGACCCTATCTAGGAGGGCCCAGGGGGGCTGGGGCGAGGGGGGCGGCCAGCTCGGACGGCACGGGGCGTCCCCCGACGACACGGCTGCGGCGCCGTCGTCAGCTCCACACGTCTCTGCGGACTTCTCCGGCCGGCGCTGGGCCCCCCGCCTCCAGTCGCGCGCAGAGCGCGCCACTGGGGCGGCTCCAGAGGCGCCCCCCGAGAGGGTCCAGCGCCGACCCACGAGTTCCGCTCGGCCGTTGGAAACTACGTGCTGGCGCACTCGAGTCTCTTCTCCTGCCTCATCGAGTGACTATCACGCCGCCGTTCTCCACTCCGGCCGAGCTCCCGGGCGCCAGCGCGGGCAATTGGGCAAGAAGCAGATCGGCTGGACGACAGATCCCCGCGCCCAGCCCGCCTCCGAGAAGACTTCCCCTCCTCTTCCTCCAGAGCCTCCTCCTCCTCCTCCCTTTCCTCCTCCTCGCTCGATCGCAACAAAGAGCAGTCAATCCAAGCAGATGGGGATTAAGTGGACGCGTGAAAACAACGAGTGAATCCCACCAGCCGTCTGGGTGCAAGGGGTCTAAGGAACTCGTTCTGCTACACCCGTTCTTCCCCTTCGGGGAGGGGGTTCCCCTTCCCCCTCCCAGCTTCCTCTGGGACTGGAGGGGGGGTGTCGCGAGGGGTTGGAGCGTCCAAGATGATCCAAGATGGCTCCAAGAGGGCCCCAGGTGGCCCCCATGATCGCTCAAGACATCCCATCACGATTCAAGATAGTTTCCAACATGCATCCAAGAGGCCTGAAGACCGCTCCAAGGCGGCTCCAATGGGCTACAGAACCTCCCAAGGAAGCCCCCGGGAGGCCTAAAACATTCAAGATGAATATGCTTGCTCAATGTTTTTGCCGTCCCGCCTTTTCGCTCCCGATGGGCTCTTGAGGTCTCGAGATGACTCCAACATGGCTCACGGCGGCCCCAAGAGGGACCCCAGCCAGCCCGAAGAGCGCCCAAGAGCGCCCCCACAGGGCCCCAACTGGTTCAATTTAGGGCTCAGACGGGGGGGCCGAAGTTGACGCCTCTCCTTTTTGTTCGACGGTTTCCAGATGGCCCCAAGAGGGCCTCCACAGCCTCCATGAGGCCCGAAGAGGGTCCTAAGCGTGCCCCACATTGGCCCCAAGAGAGGAGCACAGTGTACCAATATCTCCAAAATGGGCCCACGAGGCATCCACGGCGAAGTATTCCAAGACCTTGAGGATTCTCCTGCCGTCGTCGTCTTCTCTTTCTTCCTAGTCCTTCCCGAAACCCGCGGATACGGATGCGGTTCTATGTTGGGCCGCATGCTGCTATACACCCCTTTATTCATTTATATATATATATATATATATATATATATATATATATATGCTCGGTCCCCCCCAGCGACCCCCCAAAACGCCCAAAACACGAAACCGCGGTCTTGAGATGCTGGCACCGAACAGCCGCAGACACATGGTCTGTCACAGCGGGCTGTGACCCGAGAAGTATTCCTCCTCATCTTACTCTCCCTCATCCTCCCCCTCCTCTTCCATCTCCCCCCTCGCCTCTGCTTCTACTAGAACCAGAGCCAGGACCAGAACCAGAGCCAGAACCAGAACCAAAGCCAGAACCAGAACCAGAACCAGAGCCAGAACCAGAGCCAGAACCAGAACCAGAACCAGAGCCAGAACCAGAACCAGAACCAGAGCCAGAACCAGAGCCAGAACCAGAGCCTTGCTCGGAGGCCACGAAACACTGTGTATCACAGGTTTTTCTGGTTGTTCTGGTCTGGGAACCAACGAAACATTGTAGATCACATGTTTTTCTTGTTTTTCTGGTTTTCAGGTGCCGACAAACAGGAGGTGGGGGAGCGGTGGGGCGAGGCCGCGGCGAGCATATCAGCTCCAGAAGCCAGAAAAACCTGTGATACGCAGTGTTTCGTTGGTTCCCAGACCAGAAAAACCAGAAAAACATGTGATACACAGTGTTTCGTGGCCTCGGCCGAAACCGATATGCTTGCGCGCACGGTCCCCGTGACGGATGGGCCGAGCGGATGAGTTCGTCAGCCTGGATGGCAGGCCAAAGTTGAGTTGTGTATTCGTGCTTTGGGCGCCAGGGGCGAGGATTTGTGGCTGGCAACAGGGAAGATGCTGGAGGAGGCCTTCCTCAAGGAGCACTGCCAGTGAGCGGCGAGCGCTGTAGTCCCCGAAGAGTACACAGTGTTTTCTTGCTCGGAGGCCACGAAACACCGTGTATCACAGGTTTTTCTGGTTGTTCTAATCAACGAAACATTGTATATCACAGGTTTTTCTGGTGTTTCTGGTTTTCAGGTGCCGACAAACAGGAGGTGGGGGAGCGGTGGGGCGAGGCCGCGGCGAGCATTTCAGCTCCAGAAACAAGAAAAACCAGAAAAAACCTGTGATACGCAGTGTTTCGTTGGTTCCCAGACCAGAGAAACCAGAAAAACATGTGATACACAGTGTTTCGTGGCCTCGGCCGAAACCGATATGCTTGCGCGCACGGTGCCCGTGACGGATGGGCCGAGCGGATGAGTTCGTCAGCCTGGATGGCAGGCCAAAGTTGAGTTGTGTATTCGTGCTTTGGGCGCTCTGGGGGGTCGCTGGGGGGGGGATCGACCATATATATATATATATATATATATATATATATATATATATATATAAAATATAAAAATAAAGCAGCTCGACTGGCGTCTGTTGTTGGACGAGCTAGTGGGGATACTTTTTGTTCGCAACCGCTGGCGGGCAGCCGCGCGGCGTCCACAGTCGAAAGAAGCCAGGCCTACGTGGAGCAGGGCGGACGCCTAAACTACAGCTGGCGAGCGAGGACAAGAAACGGGGCCGAGCAGGGCGGGCGGCGGACGGGCAACGAGCCAGTGGGGATACACAAACCGTCAATAGTTGAGAACGAACGCCCATCACTCCTGGATGACTCTCGAAACCCCATGTGCACACCCAGCCGAAGGTGGAGCCCAGAGGTTCCGAAGGGATGACGGGAGCCTTGGAATTGGAGCAAGCATGGCCGACTCATCTCCTCTCCCCCCTCCTACATGCAAGTTCCCTGTCTCCCATGGTGCCGTAGCACTGGCAGCCTCTTCTCCTCCTCCTCCTTTCCTCCTCATCCCCGTTCTCCTCCTCTTCCTCCTCCTGCTCCTCCTTTTCCCGCTCCTCCTCCAGCTCCTCCTCCTCCAGCTCCTCCTCCTCCTCCTACTCCTCCTCTTCGCCTTGCGGCCCGCCAGGCTCTGAGAGTAGCACCTGTGCCATGAATCGGCTGGAGTGCACACGGCCATGCTTGGGGGCACCAGCGTGGGCGCCAGCGCGAGAAGGCTCTTGTTTGGAAAGCAAGAGGGCCTCCGAGGAGCCCCCACCTCCGCTTCGGGTGCTGCTAGAATAAAGGCTTCCTGAATGGGGTCCGAATAGATGGGGTCGGAGGATCGCGCCGCATCGGCGACGGCGGCGATGCATCGGCGCCGTCGGCGTGCACAGAGTCGGGCTCCACCTCGAGCAGCCGAATCGGCGATACATCGGCGATGCGGCGCGATCCTCCGACTCCATCTACTCGGAGCTCATTTGGGAGGCCCAGATAGAAGTGCCCCTGGCCCAAGGTGCCTCAAGGACTTCCAAGGGGTCTCCCACTGCCTGAGGGCACCCTCGCGAGGCCGAGAGGGCCCCCCCTGGGGGTTCCAAGATGGAGCGAAAAGCTGGGGGTACCTTGGGCCAGGGGCACCTTCAGCAACCCCCGACCTCTCGTTGCGAAGAATAATCACGACGGGACACTTTTGGCCGTTTGCGCTTCGGGGGACCCTCGCCGTGCCCCGGGGCCGTCCGCAAACACCTCGCAATGAAAAACTGGCCCTGGGGAAGGGGTCGAGACTTCTGGAGACCTGGTCTTGAACAAATCCGCCACCACGCTTGCAGCGGTGTGTGTGTGTGTGTGTGTGTGTGTGTGTCTGTCTGTGTGTGTGTGTGTGTCTGTGTCTGGCTCAATCCTCTAGCTTCAGGCGTCTCCTGGGGGGGGTCAAGGCTCGAGGAGGCCGGCGCGGCCTGGCGTGCGGCCGGGCCGCGCCAGCGGCCATGCAGAGGCGGCGGCAGCGGCGCGCTGCTGCCGCCCGCGCCGCGGGCCGAGGAGGAGGAGGAGGAGGAGGAGGAGGAGGAGGAGGAGGAGGAGGAGGAGGAGGTGGAGGAGGAGGAGGAGGACCTCCTCCTCCTCCTCCCCTCCTCCTCTCCTCCTCCTCGGAGGAGGAGGAGGAGGGGGAGGAGGAGAGGAGGAGGAGGGAGGGGAGGAGGGAGGAGGAGGAGGAGGAGGAGGAGGAGGGGGATGTGGAGGAGGGGTGGCGGCGAGGGCGAGAGGGCGACGGGGGTCGGAAGGAAGAGGTCGACGGGGTGAGGAGGGAGTCGGAGGGTTGGAGGACGAGGAGGATGGTCGGGGGGCATCCGACACCTCAAGGATCCTGGCTGGGCCCAGGACGAGCCTGGCCAGGATCGGTGAGATGGTCGGTTGCTGTGCCCCCGAAGGGGGGCAAAGACGAGGAGGGCGAGGGAACAGCGGAGAAGAGACCTGGAACCGCGAAAATTCGAGAACTTACCTGAAAAAAGAGAACCTCGTCACACCTCTCGGCTCGGTTCGCCCACCAATCGATCGGGGCGTATCCTTCATGTTGTCGAGCAGCTTGTCGGCCTCTGGCGTCTTCGGCACCAGGGTCTCCCATCGCTTCAGGCCTACGAGGACGTCTCCGCCCACCTTGAAGGCAACGGGGCGGGGGCTCCCCATTCTCCCGCTGCTCTTTACTCTTTCGTTTCCTCCCCCTCTCCCTACATCTCCAGATCCTCCTTGTCCTCGTCCTCCTCCTCCTCCACCTCCTCCTCCTCCCCCTCAACCGCCGCCCCCCTCTGCCCCTCTCCCCGTCCTCCGAGTCTTCACGCGTTTCGGCTTCACCCCATTTCATACCGCCTGTTCACTTTTATGATTTGATGTGTTTCCAATTATCCTTGGCATTGACGTCAGGCCCCGCCTTCTTTTTCCCTTCCTCTGTTAACTAAAGCTGTGCGCGGCCCGCTTAGCTTCGACCAGAAGAGGTGCGCTCTCGACCCGCGAATCAAAAAAGTGTTTCCAATTCCCTTCCTCGCCCCTCCTCTTCCACAAGGCCGCCCCCAGACTGCCCCTGGAATCCCACTGCGTGCGAGCTGGCCAGAGGCAGCAAGGCCAGGCCCGCGCAGCGTGACCAAGCGGGCCGGAGAGCCCGACGGGCCCCCAGATGGAGGCGGGCAGTCGGGAGGAGAATGTTCGGGGGGTCAGGGCCTCCGTGGCTGGAGGCGGGCTGCCGATCAAGGCCTCCGTGGTGTCGGGGTCACGGAGGCCTGCAATCGGGAGGATAACGCTTGGAGGGTCAGGGCCCTCTGCGCTGGTTTCTGCCACCGAGGGACCGTTCAACCTCGAACGATCGGCGGCTCCTCGACCGCCAGATCGTTCCTCTTCAGGTGCTCTCCTGCCAACTCCATCACCCTGCCGCGAACACTGCAATCAGATGCCGCTGCTTCCTGCGCCCTCCTGCGCGCTGCGCCGCTTACCGGTTGCCCGTCTCGGTGTTGCGGAAGCTCGTCCCAAGTGGCCGACTTGTTGGCGTGGGAATGCTCTGGGATACCGCCCCTCCCTTCTGGGGTTCGCGCCTCATCTCTGCACTCTCATGCTGGATTGTTTCGTCTCTGTTGCCCAAACTTTCCATTGCTCGAACGTCCGTTCCCCGCGCAGATTTCGGTTTCGTGCGTATCTGGTTTGCGAAATGATCTGGGGTGCTCTTCGATGGTACTCGCCGAGAAAAATGCACACGTCCGAACGATGCCAAGCAAAGTGTTCATCTCATCCCAAATGGCTGATTCCAAAAACCCTGAACCAAAAACTACTACTGGAACCGTCGCCATTTTGCTGCCGCCGGCCTAACACCAGCTTCCGCCGAAGGCGAGGTGCGCCGAAGGCAATGCCCTTTCTGGAACGCCCCAAGCAGCCCCAAGATAAGCTTGGGTTGACCAACGTTGGCCCGAACATGCCAATCTGCCCCACGAATGTCCAAGATAAGCTCCATCGGCCCAACGTGGGCCAGGCTGGCCCAATGGTGCCAGTCTGGCACACGTTGGGCCAATGGGGCTCCTCAGCAGCCTTGATGTAGTCGCAATATTGCCCCTCCAAACGACTCAAGGTGACTCAAGATCTCAGGATGGCTGGCATTTACCATGTAACCTCTGACCTTCCTCTTCTGGCTCAGCTGCTGAGGAGGCGGCGGTGGCAGGAGGTAGCAGAACTGCTACCCTTTTGCCGCCTGGTTGCTGACCTCTTGACACCTGGCGGTCGTTCACAACCCTTGAGGCGTACACGTGGAACTCTGCCCATGCAACCTCAGTTGTCGCGCGGCGGTCCTGCTCGTCATTTGCGAGGCTCGGAACCAGAAATATGGGAAGCATCGTTTTGAAACACGTCCTTTCGGGTAGCAGGGACAACTGTGCGGCGCAGTCTCAGCGCCAACGCACTTTTAGACCCATCTACTCCCAAGGAGGAAGCGGGAAGAGGAGAAGAGGAGGATGAGGAGGAGGAGGAGGGGGAGGAGGACGAGGAGGAGGAAGAGAGTAGGAAGAGCAGGAGAAGGAGATGGAGGAGGAGGAAGAGGAGGAAGAGGAGGAGGAGGAGGAGGAGGAGGAAGAGAGAGAGAGAGAGAGAAGAGAGAGAGAGAGAGAGCGAGAGAGAGAGAGAGACACATACATACACACACATATATATATATATATATATACACATATATATATATATATATACGACCACCCTGGGGGAGATAAGGAGGTTTGGGGGGGAGGGGCCCAGCAATGGGCAACAGTGTGATTGTTGTTCTGACGATGCCAGTGGAGATCGTTGCGTTGCCGCTCGCTCTTGGGAGCTCTGGTGTCGAGTTGTTTACGCCACCCTTCGCTGTTGGGCGCCTTGGTACCATCCTCTTCCCCCGGGAACCTGCCCAACGGCGGCGCACGACGACGGCAATTCTTTGTCTGAGGCCTCCCGAGGCCCCGCTCGTCGCCCACTATCGATCTCACTATCGATCTCGTTATCGATCTCACAATCGATATCACTATCGATCTCACAATCGATCTCACTATCGATCTCACTATCGATCTCACTATCGATCTCACTATCGATCTCACTATCGATCTCACTATCGATCTCACGACGGGACACCGACGGGACACCGCAGGACACCGACGGGACACCGACGGGACACCGGCGGGACAACGACGGGACACCGCGCGGCCCCGAACGCCGGGTCGCCAAACATTTGGTCCGGCCGCGCCTCAGCCACAGGAGACTTTCCTCTCGCCCGCCCACGCAGTTTCGCCTCGCCCGCACGCACGGCACGCACGAACACGAAACCGAAATCGATTTCCCGGTAGGGGGGCTCTCCGTTCCACTTCGATCTCACCCCCCAACCTCCGATGCACAGGGAAACGAGCACATGCATCTACATTTTTACATCGTCGTGCATATGCATGTAAATTTACACACGCAGATATTCATGATCACATCTATATGTGCAAAAATACACATGTACACAGTAAGAGCGAAAGAACGAAAGAGCGAGAGAGAGAGAGAAAGAAACAACAAAAAAGTAAGAGGCGGAGGGGGCGCAGGATGATGATGATGATGATGATGATGGGGAGTCGGACGGAGCAGGAGAAAGCACGAGCAGAGAGAGTTGCAGGGGAACGAATCAGTGGACGGTGACGCCGACTATAACGACGGCGGCCGCGACGACGGCGGGCGGCTAGAGGACCCTCAGCTTGCCGCCGCCGTTCACCCACTTGCGCACCGCCTCTGGGGTCTTCGGCTGGATGCCGTCCTGCGCGGCGCGGGTGGACGCGGCTCCGGCCAGGGGGCGGCTCGGTCGCAGCCGTCTTCGTCGTCTTCGTCGTCATTGTCGTCGTCGTGGTGGTCGTCGTCGTCGTCGTCGCCTTCGTCGTCGTCGTCGCCGCCGTCGCCGCCTCCGTTGTCGCCGCCGTCACCGTCGAAGGTAGAGGAGGATGATGATAATGAGCAGGGGAAGAAGAATGAGGAAGATGAGGATGGTCTTTGGCGCCGAGGAGACGCGCGGCTCTCGCTCCTGCCATCCGCCGTTCTCCGCCCTGCAAAAACACCCTCACCCCTCCTCGCCGCTGGTTTGGGGCCCTGTCCCCCACCTCCCCCCCTTCCGGAGCAGGAGGAGGGGGATGACGAGGAGGGGGGGGCGGGTAGAGAGGGAGGGCGAGCGGGGGGGACAAGAGGGCGGAATCTGGAGGAGGGGCGGGGAAGGCCGACAGCGGCGGAGTGCCGAGCACCAGGGAATAAGAAGGGGGGCCATAAAATCTGGGGACGTATCATGGCCCTGACCATGAGATGCCCCCCCCAGTCATCACCACCCTCTTGGCCGCCCCTGATCCTCCTCGTCCACGCCGCTCTCCCCCGTCCTCCACCGCCCGTTCGCCCTGCCGCTCGCGCGCTCTCCCCCCTCCTTCCCCCTCCTCCTCTTGCTCCCTTCTCCTTTTCATCCTCCTCCCTTCCTCCTCCTCCTCCTCCTCCTCATGAGCCCCCTCCTCCTCCTCACCCCCTCCTCCTCACCCCCTCCTCCTCCTCCCCCCCTCCTCCTCCTGCTCCCCTCTCCTTCATCCTCCTCCCCTCCTCCTCCTCATGAACCCTCTCCTCGCTCCCCCTCTTTCCTCCTCGCCTGCACTGCCTTCCCCTGCGCTCCTCGATCATGAGGCCGATGCCAAGCCGCAGCTTGTACTCGGAGAACGGCGTGACGGCGCGCTCGAGGGGCCACACCTCGTTCGCGACCTCCTTGGCGTCGTTGATGAGGCGCACGTTGAGGTTGAACTCCTGCGAACGGGGAGCCCAGGGGAACGGGGCGAGGAGCCGAGAGGAGGGAGGGAGGGGACAGGGGAGGATGGGTTGGGGGGCGGGCGGAAGGAGGGAGGGAGGGAGGGAGGAGGAGGAGGAGGAGGAGGAGATGGAGGAGGAGGAGGAGGAGGCGGGATGGAGGATGGGGGATGGAGGAAGATAGAGGGGGAGGAAGGAGGAGAGAGGGGAGAAACAAGAGAGGAGAGGGGGTGACGAGGAGGATGACACAGGGAAGGAGGAGCAACGATGCTGCAACACACCACCCCGTCCCGGATCCCTCCGTTGCGCAGTCCCTGCCAGCTTCCCCCTGCGCGAAGCGCCCCCGTTGACGGACGAGCACCCCATGGGCCCGCAACTCCAAGGGGGAACCACCTTCCCCAGACAGCGCTTGCAATCACAATTCTTTCTTTAACGGGCGAAGAACGGTATAACATAAACTTTTTCGCCGTCGGGGGCGCCTGTCCCTGGGCGGCTGGAAAGCTTATACCCCTACGGTGGCACCGTAGGGGAATAAACTTTCCAGCCGCCCAGGGACAGGCGCCCCCGACAGCGAAAAAGTTTATGCTATGCCGTTCTTCGCTCGCTGATTTCTTCTCGTCCTCGAACATTTCGTTGAGAACGCGGGCCTCCCGGCCGGGGCCCACCCGCGGGCTCCCCGGCGCCTGAGGACTATGCGCCGAGGTCACGCGCGCAGGGCGCCCGGCCGTGGGCGCCGCGCGGGGTGCCCCGCGCGAGCGGAGCGCGCGCGAGGGGGGGCGTGCCGGCGTGAGGGGGGCGGCGGCATGCGGGGGCAGCCGCGGGGGCCTTGACTGGAATGTGTCGAGCATCTTGCGCGCGTGCGCACTCGCTGGAAAAAAAACATCCAAATATATCCATCCCTGGCCATCCTAAGAGAGACAATGTGAGGGCAGCCGCGGGGGCCTGAATTGGAATGTGTCAAATTGGGCGCCCGAACTATCCCGGGTAGCTCGGGTCCGGGGTAGGTCGGGTTCGGAATCCCGGAAGATCAACCCGAGTTGGCCCTGACCCGAGCTACCCCCGATGATTCGGGGCTCTGGACGCCCGAGTTATCCGGGGTAACTCGGGCCCGGGGTAACTCGGGTTCGGAATCCCGAGAAACGAACCCGAGTTAGCCATGACCCGAGCTACCCCTGTCGGGGCTCTGATCAAACATCTTGCGCGTGCGCACTCGCTGAAAAAAACATCCAAACACATCGATCCCTGGCCATCCTAAGAAAGACACTGCGAGCCACGCGCGATCGCTCCCGTTTGCGCATGTCGAGAACCAGTCAACGGCCGCGCGCGCGCCCCCGCGCGCGCAACTAGAAGCAAGGTCTTGCTGAAACATGCCACAAATAAGGGCCCTCCAAACACAGATCCGCCACCGTGCCGTGCCGGTGGCACGCTCGGGCAATTCAACATTTGTTCTGTTGCCAGGTGAAGTGTCTTTACAAAACCGCCCCATCCAGGGTGCCCTCCAGCGCCTGTATGGCGTCCAGAATGCGGAAAGACAGCTAAAAGGATTCACGGTAGCCTCAGTATGCTTCCAAGCTGGTCCAAGATGCCTCGAAGACAGCACCTGATGGCCCCCAAATGGCCCAAGGAGCCTCCGATACAGCCCAAGGGGGCTCCAAGAGGCCCTTCAGCATGACCAAAACAGAACCAACATCACTTATTTTCGTCCGGTATTTCAATGACTTTCGCGTTTCAGCCTTCTCGGGCCCCAGGCAACCCAAAACGGCCCCAGACAGAGGCCTCCAAAGCGGGGCCAAGCGGGCCCCACGACAGCCGAAGATACGTCCAAGACGGCCCCAGGCCAAGAGATCTCTGAAATGTGCCGACAGTGACAGGGCCCCAATGGGACCCCAGAACGGCCCAGAGAGGCCCCCAAGACGGCCTCCGAATGCGTCCGACTGACCAAAAACTGGGCATCGCTCGGACGTCCATTCCCTGTGTTTTTTTTGGTTTCGCGCGTGTTTTTTTCGCCAAATGATCAAGGATGTTCCTCGATGGTCCTCGCCGAAGGAAAAATGCACACGTCCGAGCGATGCCAAGAAAAAGAGCCCTCAAACGGCCCAGGAGGTACCCGACGGGCCCGCTCATAGAGGGCTCCTAGATGGGGTCGGAGTAGGTGGGGTCGGAGGACATCGCCGCATCGCCGATACATCGGCGATACATCGGCGATGTATCGGCGATGCATCGGCGATGCACCGGCGATGAGGCGTCGACGTGGGCGATGCATCGGCGACGTCGATTTGAACGAAATCGGGCTCCACATCGAGCTGCATCGGCGATGCATCGGCGATGCGGCGCGATCCTCCGACCCCATCCACCCCGACCCCATCTAGGAGGCCTAGAGCTCAACGGCCAAGGAGGAGCCGCGGGAACGTGGCCGGGCTAAGGAGGCCAACTCGGGCTCAGGCCGCGCGCGGGGGTCTTTCGCTCCACCCTCCCTCACGCCGCGCTGCCGCAGGAGGCGGCTGGGACGCACACATCGACCTCCTCCTCCTCCTCCTCCTCCTCCTCCTCCTCCTCTTCCTCCTCCTCCTCTTCCTCCTCCTCCTCCTCCTCCTCTTCCTCCTCCTCCTCCTCCTCCTCCTCGCTGCCGATGAGGATGCAAGGGCCTTGGGGGGGCCACGTCGACACTTTGCGAGCGGGGCGCGGCCAACGAAAGCGGCAACGGATGTGCCGAAAAGGAAGGATGCAAGGGTAAACTTTGAAAACCAATCATTCTTACTATGCGGGTTGGCTGCAACACATCAACATTAGTTTATTGAAGTTACGGAAGAATTCCCCCGATGTCGTCATCACTCCCGCGATGTTTGCTCGATCAGTGGGCGCTGACGACTTGCAGCGACTGAAAGAATACGCCCAGACCTAAGACAGAAGAGCGCCCTTCAAGATGTGACACTCCACCAGCCAAACCAAACAGAGCATTCGAAGGCAACGTCCAACAAACACGAAGAACATTGGGGCACCCTCCCCGAACCGACCTCTCGGGAATCTTCTGACTCGGGTCAATCCAGACCCGGGTCAGTCAGGCCTTGCAAGATCCTTCAAGATCCTGCAGGATCCCTGCACCCAAGCCCGGGTCGGTGCGCCCCTGGCGCTGCAAGATCCTTCAACACTCGGCGCTCTGGCTGACCCCCCGTTTGCGTCGACCCCCGTCTCTTGTTTGGACGCCCGAAATGGGTACCGAAAGAATGGGTACAATGCCCAACAGCAAATGTTGTCCCAAACCAGCAGCGGCCGCTGTTGGGCAGGCGGCCTCCTGTCTCGAATGGACACGGGCCGCGGCGGCGTGGACAGCGAGCCCCTGCTCAAAAGGAACAAGATCCGCTGTTGGGCATTGTACCCATTCTTTCAGTACCCATTTCGTGCGTGCAGATCTTGAGCCCCGAACCTCGATCTTTTATTTCGGCCCGGCCGCAACCCTCCGCCTTCCCGGGTGTCTCGCGTGCCCGCGGGCCGCGTGGCGGGGGGGGGGGCGGGGCGGGCCTTGGCGATGCGGATGTCGGAGCCCTCGGTGCCACCCGCCCAGTCGGAGTCCCAAGGCCTCGGCGCGGGGTCGATGGGCAGGAAGCGCGGGGCCAGGAGTGACGGAGGAAGGCGAGGAGGAAGAGGAGGGAGCAGGAGAAGGAGGAGGAGGAGGCGAGGGGATGAGGCAAAGAAAGGAAGAGGCGCAGGAGGAGGACGAGGAGGGGGAGGAAGAGGAGGAAGAGGAGGCGAAGGGAGGAGGAGGACGAGGCGGAGGAGGCGAAGGGAGGAGGAAGAGGAAGAGGAGGAGGAGGAGGAATAGTCACGGAATCATGGAATGCAAGATATGAAAAAGGTGCTCTCCCTAGAAAACCGATCACCCCCGGCTTCCAAGCGGGGAAGAGCCGCGTACCAACAGGTACGGAGCACGCGAACCGGACAAGGGATAGTCAAACACCTCGTCGCCCCGCGACTCGCCGCCCAGACGAGGTGGCATGGCTCGTGTGGGGGGATAGTCGTTTCACCTCGTCACCGCGACAAGGCGCCTGGGGGGATGACGAAGAGAACGACGACGACGACGACGACGACGACGACGACGACGACGACGACGACGACGACGACGACGACGACGACGACGACGACTGGCAACCGAACCGACTGAGTTGGCACCCCAGGGCGAACGGGCACGAAAGCCCCACGAGACTCACGGGACCCATGGCCCCGCCTCTCAACCGAATGCACAATATCCCCGTGCCCGACAGCCGCCGCGGAGCACAGCACAAGCGCCACGGGCGCAGCCAGAAGCCACGGCTTCGGGCCAGAAGCCACAGAACAACTACGAGAACGGCATGGGACAACACGTTTGCTCCCAGCCGTAACGCACGGTTGACTGCAGCAGTGTCCCCGTGGCGTAGGGCCGAGCACCAGAATGCGGTACCCAGCTGCAGGAACTGCCCCCCCGCCGCGGGGAGGAGGAGGAGGAGGAGGAGGAGGAGGAGGAGGAGGAGGAGGAGGAGGAGGAGGCGGAGGAGGAGGAGGAGGAGGAGGAGGAGGAGGAGGAGGGTAGAGCCGTTTCCTGACTCGGGGGCGTGGCCCCTGCGCCCAACCCGCGACACAGGGGCAGGGGGTCACGCAACGGGCGGCAGGCCAGGCGCGCCAACCTCCACAACAGAAGGCACGCCGCGACAATCTCAATCCGGCACGTGCTGACCATGAGCCGCCATGATAACGAACATGACTTTCTTTAGGCGACCATGCGACGGCATACAATATGGTTGGACGCCCGAGTTACCCCTGATGATTCGGGGCTCTGGACGCCCGAAATATCAGGGGTAACTCGGGTCCGGGATAACTCGGGTTCGGACTCCCGAAAACGAACCCAAGTTAGCCCTGACCCGAGTTACCCCTGATGATTCGGGGCTCTGATATGGGGCAGATGTAGATGTGAACAGATCCCAGAAGCGCCGCATCTCAGACCGTAGCGTACACACATCACCCGCATGCCCGCCCGCCACACGGACGCACCACGACGAGCCCGCCGCGCACCTCGACTGCGAAAAAAACACCGTGGCAAACCCCAGGGCTTCAATTTGCGGAGATTGGCGGCGCGCACAAGGGGGTGGGGGGGGGGGGGGGGCTTCTTAGAAGCAGGCTGCGTCTTAGAAGGCGCCGGCCTTACATCTGTAGATAAGGCCCGCGCCTTCTAAGAAGCAGGGGTGCTTCTAAGAAGCCCTCCCCCCTCCCCCCACCCCCCTCTGCGCGTGGCTGAGGAGAGAGGCGCCCATCTTCGTCCCGTCCCTCGATCTGCACATCCTGCCGCCGTACCTTCCCGCCGCTGGGAGCCCTGGACATGCTGGGAGCCCTAGAAACGCTGGAAACCAGGACGGTAACCAGCCTCGAACGCATCCCTATCCCCAAGATTAACAAGCCAAGAGTCGACGACAATCTTAGGGATGCGCCCTCAGAAACTGAGGGAACCCCTAAGATCGGCATCGAGACGAGGCGATGCCAATCGTGGGGATAGGGATATGTTCCAGGCTGGTGAGACAGCCTGGGAACCCTCATCACGCAGGGAGCCCAGGACACGGCGGGAGCCCCCTGCAACGGCACCCGAACGAGTGGCAGCGGCGAAGGCGGAGCTTCCACGCTCGCCGCAGCCCTCCCGTCGAGGACCGAGCGTGCGCACCGCTGGCGCCTGCGCCAGAGACTACGCCGGCGACTACGGCAGCGACTACGCCGGCGACTGGTCCAGCCACTACGCCCTCGACCCAGAGGAGGTGGTGGCGGCGGCGTGTCGGAGGTGGAGACCCCTGTTGTCGAGGGGGATGGAGAGGAAGAGGTGGAGACGGATCATGGTGGCCTCCTGGACCGCTCTCCCCCACAGCTCTGGCGGCTCCTCCTCCAAGACCTCGAACAGCGACTCGAGGATTCAAGCGACGAGGGCGAACGGTACACCATCATCCAATCCTCGTGCCGCATGCCGGAAGTGGGCGCGCAACGCTACTTCGAAGCACTCTCGCCGCACATTAGGAACCTATACGCTGGAGCGCCCGGAAGACGCTAGCCATTCCTCTCTACCCGTTCTAGTATCATCGTATGGTGGTGGGGGTGGGCAGGGTAATGCCGGGCGTGTCCCCCTACACGGAGATTTTCGACGAAAAATTAAAGATACCCCAGAAATGCACCAAAAAAGGTCAAAATCCGCCGACTCTGTCGGCGTGTGCGAGGGGCTTGGCTGTTCGAGTCGTCGTCTCCGGCGGTCGTCGCCTCCGTCGTCCCCTTTCTCTGCAGCTTCCTTCTCAAGCTCGCGAGCGAGAGAAAAATCTAGCAGTGTCGTAATCGAGTCGAAGGGAAGCCCCTTCCCTTCGATCCCTTCCCCAGGGGGGGGGGGGTCCCGGGGGGGGTGGGGGGGCAGATTCGTTTTTCCTCGGGCGGCCTAGAAACCTCGAAGACACTCCAAATGAGGTCCGAATGCCCAAGATGGCCCCCGAGACGGCCCAAGAGGGCCCCGAGTCGCCCAAAGATCTGCCGCAAACGCCCAAGACAGCCCCAAGGCCGTCCAAGAAGCCTCCAAGACGTCCCAGGCCCCCTCCAAGAGACCCCCAGGAAGCTCCAAGAGGCCCCCACGAGGCTTCCAAGCGGCCCCTAAGACCTTCCCAAGAGGCCCACAAACTACCCCCAAGAGGCCCCCAAGAGCGCTCGTCGTCGTCGTCGTCGTCGTCGTCGTCGTCGCCATTCAGGGTCGGCGGCACCGGCCGTAAGGCCTTCGCAATAACACAAACAAAAATAGTCCCGGACTATGTTTGAACTATTTTTGCTTATTTTTGGGGGTATTTCTTATTTTTCGTCGAAAATCCACCTGTAGGGGGACAGGCCCGACTTAACGGTAAGGCATCGGAGCTAGGGAAAGGACGAAAACACGGCGACGAGCTCTCCACCAGCAGCCGCGCCGGCACGACCCCGGCCAGCGAAGGAGCCCACAGGAGGCTCTCGTTCGGCATCCAGCGAGCGCTGCAGCTCCGCAAGCTTGGGCGCCCGAGTTATCCGAGGTAACTCGGATAACTCCCACCCTCGTCCCCCTCCCTCGTCCCCCTCCCTCCAGAGTCTTCCAGAACCTCGGTCCACGAACAAACCTCGTCTCCTCCTCGATCATTCGTCCTCCTCCTCCATCGTCTTCGCCCAGACCTCGGTCCTTGGACCCCTTCTCTATTCCTCGATCATTCGTCCTCACTCCTCGAACATTGGGCGCCCGAGTTATCCGGGGTAACTCGGGTCCGGGGTAACTCGGGTTTGGATTCCCGGAAAAGGAACCCGAGTTAGCCCTGACCCGAGTTACCCCTGATGATGTAGGGCTCTGGGCGCCCGAATCATCCGAGGTAACTCGGGTCCAGGGTAACTCGGGTTTGGATTCCCGAAAAACGAACCCGAGTTATCCCTGACCCGAGTTACCCCTGATGATTCGGGGCTCTGACAAGCTTCAATGCTTGCGTTACCCTGCCGGAGCAAGCGTGCCACCAGATGTCCCACCGAGCCTGCCGAGCTCTCTGCTCGATGCTGTCACCGCCCTCGCCCGGCCGTCTCTGCCTCTAAGTCTATGTCTCATCCTCGGTCTCCCTGTCTCCCTCCCCCCGGGCTCCGCTGTCTCCGCGGCCGTCCCCCGGCGGTCCCCCTCTCTCTCCTCGCACACCCGCGCCCCTGTCTGGTGGGGTTCGAGACTCGGGGGGGGTGGAGGAGGAGGAGGAGGAGGAGGAGGAGGAGGAGGAGGAGGAGGAGGAGGAGGAGGAGGAGGGAGGAGGAGGAGGAGGAGGAGGAGGAGGAGGAGGAGGAGGAGGAGGAGGAGGAGGAGGCTGACGCTTCAGCGGCTAGACCGCCGGCAGCCTGCGCAAGAAAAGGAGGAGGAGGAGGAGGAGGAGGAGGAGGAGGAGGGGTGAAACATTCGGCGACGAGATCTCAACCAGACTGGTCGGCAGCAGCCGCGCCGGCCGCGACCCGGCCAGCGCACGAGCTCAGAGGACACCCGCTCGGCAGTTGATGGCGGGCGCTGCAGTGCCGCAACCTGCAGTACTAATCCGAATCGTGCCAGAGCTAGCGTGTCGCCAGTTGTCCCCACCGCGCCTGCCTAGCTCTCTGCTCGGCGTTGTTACCGCCCTCACCCGCCCGTCTTAGCATTCTCTATCATTGCTCACCCGCGCTTGGTGCTCTTTCTCTTCTCGCTGGTGCTGTTTTACTTCTGGGATGTTGCTGTTAGGAGGTAATTTCTGGGAGACCTTCGTCGGAAGCGACTTGGCCAGCGTGCAAGAGCGGGACGAGAGCAGAGACGGCGGCCGCGAAGGGGGGAAAAGAAAAGGCCGCTCACGGGTGGAAGAGTTCTCACCTGAGTGTGCTGGCGCGGCCAGCCCCGCCAGCGGGACCCATGGCAGCTGCCGGGTGCCGCCCTGCACACACGGCCTTAGCCACAGGCAGCATGCAGCCCGCGGCCGCCGCCACGGCTGCCCAGAGGAGGAGCTCGACCACGGGCTGCCCATGGCGCGGGCCAGGGCCGCCGTGGCTCCGAGCCAGTCCATGAGGGCACTGCACGGCAAAGAGGCGGAGTACAGGGCAGTCGAATCCACCGCGGCCGCCGCTGGGGGTGGATGAAGGGGCCCCAGGACACACAACCAAATACACACAAATAAAAGTATGTCCCATATTTTCCAATATTTTCTGGGTTTCTGTCTTCCCCCCCCCCTTCCCATATTTTCACATATTATCTGGGGAATCGAGGATTGATTGTGTCTGTCTGTTTCTTCTCCTCCTGAGTGGAGGAGGTTCCAGGATCCGGAGGAGACCGATCTTGGCCAGCGGCCGTGGCCTGGAAGCCCCACCGGAGCTCCCCTGCCCGGGGAGCTCCAGGGGGGGTTCTCGGGGGCGTTCGGGCGGCCCCTCCTTGCCTCACTCTCCCGCCTCTCCTCCTGTTCCCGCCCCCCTCCCTTAGTCCTCGTCTCCTTTTGGGCGCCCGAATTATCTGGGGTAACTCGGGTCCGGGGTAACTCGGGTTTGGATTCCCGGAAAAGGAACCCGAGTTAGCCCTGACCCGAGTTACCCCTGATGATGTGGGGCTCTGGACGCCCGAGTTATCGGGGGTAACTCGGGTCCGGGGTAACTCGGGTTTGGATTCCCGAAACACGAACCCGAGTTATCCCTGACCCGAGTTACCCCTGATGATTCGGGGCTCTGATCCCTCGCCTCCAGGTGCCAACCTTCGGCCAAAAAGCCCGACGCGTGCCGCAGCACGCCGCTTCCAGGCACCCTGGTCGGTACCCTTGCCACGTACCTCACCACCTGCGGGCGACTCCTGGAGCGGTGCTCTAGGAGTCGCCGCGCCTGGCACTCGTTGGATCAGCCCTCCCAGGTCCAACCAGACTTGGGGGGCGGGGCTTCGCCTGAACGACAACATAGCCGACAGGCATCAGGAATCAGGAGGAGGAGGATGCGAAGGAGGAGGGAGGAGAGGGAGGGAGGGAGGGAGGGAGGGAGGAGGACGAGGATGTTTTCTGTTTCAACCACTGGATGACTTCTGGCGATGGCGTGGCGTGCACAACACACTGTCGCTTTCTGCTGCCATATGTTCCGCCCCCCTAAACTTTGTCACGCCACCCACCTATCTTCACCGCCAGATTCAACCCTTCAGCCTTAACCTACAACCGCCACTTTGCCAACTGTGGCGCCGCAACTGTGCCGATCCCCACATCCCTCTCTCCCCCCTTCTTTTCAGGTTAGTTGCAATCCCCTATCGTCGCCGTTCTGTCGTCTCTCTCCCCTCCCCCAGCGGGTACGGAGGACTTAGCTACTCCGCTGCCTGGCGGGGCCTGTATGCTCCACGTGGTCTCTTTTTATCTCGTGCAGCTCCACTAGTTTGATCATCCCCCCCTGGGGGCAATGGACCCTGGGGGGGGGGCTGCGTTCAGGATGGACTCGGGAGCCAGCAGCGTCAGGGTCAGCGTCAGGAGGAAACGAAGGAGGAGCGAGGAATGGAAGAGGGAGGAGGGGAGGACGGGGAAAGGGGAGGGACACGACGAGCAAGTTTAGGATGAGGGAGAAATGGAGGGAGGGGCAGAGGGAGGAGGGAGAGGGAGAAGGGAGGCGGAGGAGGCATGCTGGGGGAGAGAAGGGTGGGCAAGGAGAGAGGGGGGGAGCCCGGCTGAGCGGCGGGCTCCTGCTCTTGCCTCCTTCTCCCCCTTGGTCCTGGTCCTCCGCCCTTCTCGTTCTCATCCACAACTATTGAAGGGGCCCCAGGACACACAAATAAATACACACAAATAAAAGTATTCCCCATGTTTTCCAATATGTTCTGGGCTTTTGTCTTCCCCCCACTTCCCATATTTTCCCATATTTTCAGGGGGATCGACGATTAATTGTGTCTGTGTGTTTTTCCCCTCCTGAACTATCCCCCTCTCCCTCCCCCGGCAGAGGAAGACGAAATATCGGAACACACAAACAACACACACACACACACACACACACACTGCACACTACACACTAACACGCTACACGCTACACACACACTACCTTTCGGAGGTCCGCATGGGTTTCTCGGATCGGCGCTGGACCTCCCTCCTTGGCGCGCGATCGACGACGAGGACTACGACAATGACGACGACGGCGACGACGACGATGACGCACCCGACGGCGCCGACGACGGCCGACGACAAGGACGACGCACGACGGCGATCGAAGACGGCTGGCGTCCACGACGAAGACCACGTCGACGACCACGGCCGCCACGCCGGCGCCGACTCGGGCGGGACTTAATGGGGGGGTCATAAACGGAGCAGGCAGAAAATGTCCCCTTTCGTGCCCCTTTCGGGCCCCTCCAGAGCCCCAGGGGGCTCGTTTAGGTACTGTTTGGGTACTCCAGATTTCGTAATAAAGGGAGGGGGGTCTCATTTCGGGGGGGGTCTCTTCCAGGCTATCTTGGAGGGCCTGGGGGGGTCTGGGGACGATGTTTTGGAGGGTTCTCCCACGGGGGGGGTCTGAAATAGCTTGTCTTGGAGGTTCCAGACCCCCTCCCTTTTATTACGAAATCTGGAATGCCTTTTCGAACCACCCCTTGCCACCCCCCCATTTATGACCGCCCATTACGCGGCGCCCAACCGACCACGGCGGCTGGGCCGCCGGGCGTCATCTGCGAGTTGCGGCTGTCGAACCGGCAGAGGATCGCCTCGAGGTCCTGGCGGCGCCGCGGGCGCCTGCGCCCCCGCGGGGCGCCCCGCCGTCGGAGGGAGCGGGCGGGCCGGCGGAGGAGCGCTCGGAGCGACAGCTCCAGGCCGAATGGAACGCGGCCGAAAGAGGAATGTACAGTCGGGGCGTTGACTTAAGGAACGATAAATGAGGAACGAGGCCCCTTTTTTCCATAAGTTAACCTTCGATTTCCAATCGAAAGCATAAGGCAAACCTGAGGCAAGCTGTGAAACAATTAAGGAACGCGGAGCCCCTCCCCAACGAAAAGGGTTCCTTCTTCAGGGCCCCAACTGTAGAGGTACGCGCCGCCGTCGGAGGGAGGAGGAGGAGGACCAGGGGAAGTCCAAGAATCATCCGCGGAGTTGAAATCAACCCTCCCTCCAGGCTCCCTCTTCAATAGGCCCTTGCAAGGGCTCACTTCATTTCCACTGCGGGAACTGCATCGCTGGGAGACAACCGTTTGAAAATCCTGAAGCGTGACAAAACACCATTTTCGTGACTCCAAGGCCACGAATCAATGTGACTGTTGCGTCTCGACGATCCTGAATCGTGCCAAAGCATGGGGTTGCAATACCGCAAATCAATATAACTGTTGCACTCTCACAATCTTGAATCATTCCAAACACCATGTCTGGCACGTTGACGATGGAATTCCGTGAAACTCTTGCAACTGTTTAAAAGGAATGTGCGCGGCACTAAAGCGAGAACCAAATGTTGAAAAGGAGCCGCACTCAATCCGTGAAACTCTTGCAAATGTTTGAAACGACGGCGCGCGGAACTAAGGCGATAACCATATTTTGAAACGACATGTCCTCAATCCGTGAAAATCTTGCGAATGTTAAAAACGAATGCGCGCGGCGACAATTCGAGAACCACATTTTGAAAACCACCCGCCCTCAATCCGTGAATGTCTTGCAGATGTTAAAACGAACGTGCGCAGCGCTAAGGCGAGAGCCAAATTTTGGAAGCGGCCCGCCCTCCATCAACGACACTATTGCAAACGTCTACGCTTCAGGGTGATACATGACGAGGAAGTCTCACGCGAAACAGCCGGCCCGCCCTGCCGACGGCCTCGGGGTGCGACACGGAGGCGCTGTTTGTACGGACAGGGAATGGAGGGGAGGAGGTGGAGGAGGGACGGGAGGTGTGGGAGGAAGAGGAGGAGGCGGAGGAGGAGGAGGAGGCGGAGGACGGAGGATGAGGAGGAGGAGGAGGGAGGAGGAGGAGAGGAGGAGGAGGAGGGGGAGGATGAGGAGGAGGAGGAGGAGGAGGGAGGAGGAGGAGGAGGGAGGAGGATGAGGAGGAGGAGGAGGAGGAGGAGGCGGAGGAGGCGGAGGCGGAGGACGGAGGATGAGGAGGAGGAGGAGCGGGAGGACAAGGGGGGGAGACGAGGAGAACATGGGGACGGTGGGTGGGCGCCTGCGCGATGGACACCCTCGCAGAGTGGGGCGCGGGCGGGCGCCGGGGGACGCGGCGAGCGCCGCCATGCACGCACAGCAGCGGGGAGGGGAGGAGGGCGGAATACACGCGTCGGGCAGGGGATCGCCGACAGAATCGGCGTGGCCCAACATCGATTTCTGTTTCGGATCTGCAGAAAACACTGCGCATGCTGTTCGCGAGAGTACGGGCATGATGCGTGTGTGGTCGTCGATTCGACGAGGGAAACATTTTGAGGTGCATGAATTGGGTACTCCGGATTCCATAAGAAAGTGAGGGGGGTCACATTTGGGGGGGGGGTCTAATTTGAGCTGTCTTGGA